AACAGTCTGTTTGTCGTCTTAGACGTCAGCAAGTGCAGGAGAGCCGCGTTGCAGCAATGTCCATTGTTTGGTCACCCACAGCTATCAGCAAATGCTTGGAGCAGGCGAAAATGCTGGTTGTGCAGAGGAAAGTGAGGATATTCGTGTTGGGGATTAGGTCTGCTTCCGTCTGCTCTCCTTCTTCATGTGTCATGGGTTCGAGCACACCTCGAACATGGATGTCATCAGGGATTCCTGCCTTTGTGCTCTTGGCACTGGAAGCATTGCGAACGGTAACATCGCTGGGTGATCGAGCGTGCGTTCTCTTTTCGTCGAATCACTGCCGTGCCATGTGGCTTACTTCGGCCAGTAGTATCGCACATATCATGGTCATCCAGCCTTTGCCATGACCTTGAGATGTTATTGATGATGATGATGATGATGATGACGATGATGATGATGATAGTAAACAGCATCAATACCATCACGGCATTCGTATTCTTGCAAGGGGCGGGGTGGGGGTTGGCTCGGGCCAGATTTAAACTTTAAGAATTTTTGTACACAGTCGTAAGATCCATGACCTCGAAGTCTATGGCCCCAAGGCAAGCTAGATCAAACGATACCTCCATCCAGCACATATCCCAGCAGCCTACAGCATGTGAAGTGTATATGAGATCTCGGCGCGCAGTGGGGGAACTTCAAAAAGAGGGACCCTAATGGTGTTAATATTGAAGTCCTAAATGGTCTGACTGCAAGCGTGATGAAGCCCTCACATGACACCTTAAACGCTAACCGTATTTTTCGGAAGCCTTTCATAGCTTTGCGGGGGGCCGGTTTCGAAGTTTGGGGCTTTGAAAGCTCGAAGGGCCCAGTGCTTTTATAGAAGGGCCTGATAGGATTTCGTTGGTTCACCATGTTTCCTGAGCCAAGTCTAACCAGTCCAAAGCTTGGGTAGGCCACTGCGCAATTCTGGTGGTACAGACGGGAATTTAGTCTAATTGCTATTATCCCTTGCTGTCACTGTCAGTGGGTGGGGCCTTGCCTGAGCTAATCATGTGAGGCCTTGCCAGTGGAGTGCACCTTGACCGACTGGACAGATTGGTGCTCACCCCAGTCTCGCGGGACTTCGGATTCGGGGACCCCGGACATTGGAGTTTGCTAAAAGCCCCGCAGGAATTTGGAACGGATCTGCAATGAATTTATGCCATTTGTTGAGCTTTTCAGGCTTATACGGGTTCGGGACGAGGACTTTCGGTCTCTGGTTTAGGGTGGGCCCAGAGCCCAGAGCTTCAGGGCCTCCCGGGGCTTCAGGGGCTCCAGGGGCTCCAGGGCTTTAGGGCTTAGGGTTCATCGGTTTGGGGATTTGCAGTTCAGCTGGAGTTACACGGGTTTTTGGTCATTAGGGCCTCGTGTTTGCGACTGCATGGCATTGGGATTTCGAAAGCTTCTGTTGTGGCTGTGGGGGTTTTTGCAAAGGACATGATGCTACGGGAGCTTGCCGTGCTTGGCGATCTGTCCTCCGAAAGGGTTTTTCCATCGATGCCTAGGTGTTGCCTGATGACTTCCAGTAAGGTTTGGGATTCTGGTCTACGTTTACTCGGACAAAGCAGACATGCAGCAAACTCTGACATAACTACAAACCCCAAATTGCCAAACCTGAAAGCCAAGACTTTTTGCCGATCTTTCACTGCTCAAGAAGTGAAGCTTCTTCGCGCAAACCCCATGCCCTTTACAACATCAATCCCCAAAGTCCTAAAGCATCAGGCCGAGCATGGTTGTTCTTGCTCGGGACGGTTTGGAAACACATCTCCACTCCTTCGCAGTTGCCCTGAACCACTCCGACACCACCCAATTGATTCAATTTGTTTTCGTGTGGATTTGACCTCATGACCTATCGCCTTATTGTTTTTGTTGTGATGAACTGTTTTTTGGGGTCACCACGCACGGGAGTCGCCAACAGGCAATTCGCTGGTAGTTTGTGCGAGTTGTTTGTTGATAATTTGTATCGTCTTTGGCCGCATGGATCATCTGTTGGCTTAAGCGCAATGAGAACAATTGATATTTGTATAACCGCTCTTTGCATTCCATTGGCAATACACAGCTGCCCGAAATGCTTCAGGTGACTGTCGCTTTGCCAAGTGGCCGGGCTGAATGCTTTTCAGTTGATCAAGGCTCCACAGTGGGTGACTTGAAGGTCTTGGCCCAGCAAACTCTCCAGCAAGGATTCCTCAGGCTTGTCACCACGGAGGGTCGTGTGCTTGACGACTTTCAGCAGTCTTTGCTGACTGCAGGGCTACAAGACGGAGACCATGTCACAGCTTTTGTGCTGCAACCACGTGTGGTTGGAACAAGCCGAGCAGATTTATGGAAGGATGATAGAGGCGGAGCCTTCGCGCTGTGGTTCCCTGGAGGTGAAAGCATCATCACTTGGGGCCACCCAAATTGCGGTGGTGACAGCTCCGCAGTTCAAAGTCAGCTGAAGGGGGTGCAGCAGCTGCAAGCCACAAGTTGTGCATTTGCCGCGATTTTGGCAGATGGGTCTGTCGTGTCTTGGGGGCATCCAGTCCGCGGTGGTGACAGCTCGGCGGTTCAAAGTCAGCTGAAAGGCGTGCAGGAGATTCAAGCTACCGAAGTTGCTTTTGCTGCCATTTTGGCGGATGGATCTGTCGTTTCATGGGGAAGTCCAGTCTTCGGTGGTGACAGCTCGGCTGTTCAAAGTCAGCTGAAAGGCGTGCAGCAGCTTCAGGCCAACGAGAGTGCATTTGCTGCCATTTTGGCAGACGGGTCTGTCGTTTCTTGGGGGTATCCCAACAACGGTGGTGACAGCTCCGCAGCTCAAAGTCAGCTGAAGGGGGTGCGACAGCTTCAGGCCAACGAGAGCGCGTTTGCTGCAATTTTAACAGATGGATCTGTCGTCTCCTGGGGCTGTCCTGATTACGGTGGTGACAGTTCTGCAGTCCAAAGTCAGCTGAAGGGTGTGGAGCAGCTTCATGCCACCCATGGTGCATTTGCTGCAGTTTTGGCAGATGGATTTGTTATTTCTTGGGGGCGTCGAGACTGGGGTGGTGACAGCTTGGCAGTTCAAAGTCAGTTGAAGGGCGTGCAGCAGCTTCAGGCCACCCATGGTGCATTTGCTGCGATTTTGGCAGATGGGTCTGTCATTACATGGGGACATGGAGGCTGTGGTGGTGACAGCTCGGCAGTTCAAAGTCAGCTGAAGGGCGTGCAGCAGATTCAGGCTAACAAAGTCGCTTTTGCTGCCCTTTTGGCAGATGGATCAGTCGTGTCCTGGGGACATCCAGAAAGCGGTGGAGACAGCTCCGAAGTCCAAAGTCAGCTGAAACGCGTGCAGCAGCTTCAGGCGACCACTAATGCCTTTGCCGCTGTTTTAGCAGATGGATCTGTTGTTTCTTGGGGCCTCACAGATTGGGGTGGCGACAGCTCCACAGTTCAAAGTCAGCTGAAGTGTGTGCAGCAGCTTCAAGCCAATGAGCGTGCATTTGCCGCCATTTTGGCAGATGGGTCTGTCGTGTCTTGGGGATCTCCACAGTACTGTGGTGACAGCTCAGCTGTTCCACACCAGCTTACATGACTAATCCAAGGACCTGCGAATGGGCAAGACGTTTGTTGCTGAAAGACGGCATGTGAGCATCAGAGAAAACACGTAAGGAGAAGCTTGACAACCCGGGTGGATCCACGCAAGAGCCAGAGGCCAGCTGACTTTGAGAAGCAATCCACCTCGGTGATAACAATTGCACGTTTGCTCGTTCTGTAGGTTGGTGATTTTGTGTGTATTCGGCTTGCTTGATTTTTAAAGCCTGAGATATGAATGGTCGATCTTTCTGCCCTTCTAAAGTGGTAGTGGTATTGTTAGTGGTAGTAGTGGCAGTGGTGGTGGTAGTAGTAGTAGCAGCTAAACCCCCAACCTCAAAGCCTAACCTTAGAGATCTCCGGCGAGGGTTTTACTACAAGGGCTCCACCATCCCTGCTGAAACCCCGCTTGCTAAAACCCCGATGCCCCGAAGCCCCAAAAAACCAAATCCGTGGGAAAATGGGAGGTCTAGAGAGCCCCTGCTTGCGGGGTCTGTTGTATTCAGCGCCAAGGATTCGCAGGCAGCAGGTCTTCGAGAGAGGGATTGCAAGCAGACGAGGCTTCGGGGTTCACTGTTTGGGGGATGTGTGCCTAGACTCGAACCCTTATAGTCTTCCATTGCAGCCCTATATCGTAATCTCAAACTCCCAAACCCAAACCTTGACGAAGCACTAGATCTACAGTCCGGCCAAGACTACACCTCCAAACGAACCTCCTCAGCTTTTTAAGTGAAACGTTAAGCCACTTATAGTTGCCCGTGAACCTCCAAGTAGATAAAGCTGCTTCCAGGGGTGCCTGCTCGGCCACCTGCGAGGGCCAGCGATCGCGGAATCGTCAGGCCGTCAGCAGGAGAGATTTTACGAGGATTCGTGGATTTTCTGGTGGTTGCACAAGGGTCCCACATGTCTTTGTAAGGGTTACAATGCCTGTCATCAGGGTTTATGATTTTTATAGTTTTTTTTCAAGTGTTTGCGAGGGTTTTGTTTTAATCACATTTTTGCTGTTTGGGTTTCTAGGGGTCTTCTTGGTGAATAGCACTCCCTGCCTGCAAGGGCCTTAGTAGCAGGAAGGGGCCTGTCCAGCTGAGGTCCACACAATCTGAGAAGGGTTTTGGACGGCTCTTGGGTTCGATCTTTGTTTCTGTTGTTGCTTGTTGAGATCTTGATGTTTGTCGGGATCTCCAAGAAAGCATGTCCGGCAAGTGCAGTGTGGCTTCGTTATTGCTGAACAACATTCTCGCATGGTGGTTGTTCTGGCGGTGTTGTAAAGGAGGGACCATCTGGGAACATGCCTCCTCACAAAGAGATCCTAATGACAAGCCAGAACTGAAACCCAAACTGCTACGGATCACGTTTAACCTCATGATTTCTTGCATGCATACGTGCACTTTAAGGTACACCACAAGTGAGCAGTTTGCGGGTACCTCAGCAATAACATAGGTCAGGTGCTAGGTGGCAATCTTCTTGGTCAGGTTTGCGGCTTCGTCTCTGTTTGATATTCCTCTGGCGATCTCTGAAGCCTTTTCCTAGATTTCGGGGCTCTGTGGCTTTTGCTAGGGTCTCGAAGTTAGCCATAATAGGAGTGCAGGCTTGGCTACTACTTCGGATCTGTCGGGGACCCTGACTGGTGACAAGCTACATCGACTCGAAACCGAACCAATGGAACATAGATGATGGACCACCAGGGCCAAAACTGTAAACCATAACCCTGAAATTGAAATCCCGAGGCCCAAAGCCAAAACCCCCTTATCCCGTAAACTCCTAAACCCCTAACTAAACCATCAAACCCCTAAACTCCCAAACCACTAAGCCGCTAAACCCCCTTAAGCCCTTGAGCCCCTAAGCCGCCCCGGCAAGGTGGACGAAAGCTCCCCGAGCAACTGCTTCATCAAGGAGGCGGTGACTTTGGAGGTCGGAGAGCGGGGCCACGTTTTCTGCGTCGTCCTTGTGGGGGGTCTCATCGGATTTTGTACTCAGAATGAGGTTGCGAGGTATATTCTAGTATGATGATGCAGGGACGATCAGGGATTCCCGGAAGTAGACTTTTTATCCCAGACTTCTTAGAATGTGTTTGGGGATTGCTCGGAGCATCCGTGTCTAGACTAGCCAAGGTTGGGGGTTCAGGAAGTTATGGTCGCAGGACGAAGGCTCAGGCTTGAGGATTTTTTCGGGTTTTGGATTTAGTCACAAGGGCTCGGAGGAGTTCAGAAGTTCAGGATGCCTGTGCCTGCAAACTCTGTCGCTGCAATGAGAAAAGATATATGGGAGTGTCATAGCAAGGCACCTTACGGGTGTAGATCTTTTGGTGGTTTGCAGGTACGGTGCACCCCTCCCCCAAGGCCTAGACCCTGATAAGAACAATCAGTTGTCTAGTATCCGGCACCACACAAAGCCCCGACACCCTCTTCTATTGATTGACGTCCCTGCCTTATGCCCTATGAAACCGTGGAGACAACCTGGATAAAACGCAACCTTTTGTAGCGTCGTTGTGAAACCCGATAAATGTCGATGAAACATGAGCCCTGAACTCTAAACCCGAAGCCGATGGGGCTTTCGTAGATGCGGATGGAAAAGGAGCCCTTGAAAAAAAGACCCAAACCGAAACCTACATTAGACCCTTGTCCCCCCTAAAAAATGGCAGGAGCTTGGCCCGTGCGGTCCCGACACGTGCGAGACTTTCGAACATTGCGCCGCCGGGCCGCGTTCAGCTGCGGAGTCAAAGGGCTTCTCGGAGTTCGGGGTGTAGGGTCTGAGGTTGAAGCGCTAGAGTTTACAGAGTTTATGAAGTGTTTAGGGTTTGAGCCCCTGGGTATAGTTGAGCGGCCCTAATCCCAACCCAGTTTGTAAACCCTAAACCCTAAACCCTGTAAACCCTAAATCCTCAAGCCGGAACCCGAAACCCTAAACCCTGAACCCTGAGCACTACACCCTAAACCCCAAACCCGTAAGCCCGAAACCCGAAACCCTAAACCCCCAAAGCCCGAAAGTGTATGAGCAGGTGTTGGGGCAGTGGAGCAGATGGAGCCCCTGCACGCAGGCAACTGCGTTTTAGGGAGTTTCGGCCATCAAGCGGAGAGGGTTTGAGATTTTTTTTGGGGGGTTCTTAGAATTTCGGCCTGAACAGTTATGAATAGGGTTCCTTTACAGCTTCAGAAAATCATGAGTGTGCATTAAAGTAGTCCCAGCATTCGGGCTTGGGGTTCGATGTTCGCAAGGGGACATTTCGTGCACAGACCCGAGTCGGAAGAAGCCTGGTTTATTCCCTAAACCACTAAACCCTAAACCCATAACCCTAAACGCTTTAAACCCAAAACCCTAACCCCGAAACCACTAAACCGTAAACCTCGCCGAAGACATGAGAATCAAACATGCTGCAGGCGGTTCCCAGCCCACAGCCCCATGTTTGGGCTTGAGAATGCGAGCTGGCGCCGAAAGCTCGAGCCCTCAACCACATCAAGAAGCTCTGCAGCATGTTAGATCAAACCTTATCAAACCTTCATAGAACCCGAGAAAGCTCTCATAAAAGGCACGAGCAACATCAACCCCTGTGCCGGTGGGCGTGCTGCTGGGGACAGCTCGCGTGCTCGTCGTGACCGCGACCGAAGCTGCAGCACTGGTGCCACAGAACTTGCAGCCGGCACCAGTGGCATCTCGTGCATGTGCCGGGTAAAGAGCACTTAAAAGTTTAGTTTGACAGCCGGAGCCACCAGAGCGGGAACCAGAGATGCTCTGTTGGATGCAGCATTCACCAACCGTGGCAAGTGCAGACTGTCCCTTTCCTGCGGAAGCATGCCGCCAGAGACCCTGCGGTTACCTATCTTCTTGCGTGAGTAACAATGGCCGACAGATACCCGGATTGGGATTCGCAGGCGAAAGCGGTGCCGCGGGATGCCGATGTCGAAACCATAGTCTGGGCCGGCAGGATGACTTGAAGGGAAGCAGCCCTCAACGGTTCCGGGCCTGGTGCCCTGGGCTTTTCTGCGAGATGGATTAGAATCAACATCATGCCGCTGCGATAGAAACCCGAATAGCTCGACTAGGGGCTTTGGGGATGTCTGTGCCATGCGTGTAACAAGGAGCCTTAAGTTATGGCCTTTTATTCAGCCCCCCATATTAAGCTGCTAAGCCGGATGGTTGAAA